AAAGCCAGGAGGCTGTGGTGTGGGCTCTAGGTTCCTGAGCAAGAGCAGTAACAGGCTCCCCTCTCCTCACGTGGTTACTTGGTGAGCTTTGCTTCTCCCTGCTCCCTTCATTGGGAGTGAGTGTTATCAGCTCCATGTCCTGACAATGCCTGCGCAAAGCGTTGTGACAGATTAGTCCATGTTAATCATGACCAGAATTTTTCTCTCTCTCTCTCTATGTATATATATGAACACACATATATTTTCCATTACTTGACTTAAATATTCCTCTGCAGAACCAATTTCAGCTGGATTCTTTAGAAAATCAGGTGAAATTCACTTATTCTAATATTGGCACCTACAAGTTAGACATCTACTTCTGAGTCCCATGCCTTCCAGGTAGACCCAAGTGCTTGTTGCTTGTTTGGATTTATGTGGATTCAGGTTCCAGCAGTTGTTTCTTGCTTTGATTTGGGTGTTTGGTCTTCTTTGTCTTTTATAGAAAGATCATCTACTAAACTGAAGTGCTCCTCAGTATGAGACATTTTCCTTATATGAAGTCTCCTGCTGTTGAAGTCACATCTTAATTCCCTCTCTGAGAAATTAGAGATGTCAAAATTCTAAAATTCTCCCTGCAGGGCATTTTCTCAAATATTTTTCGCAATCCCCCCCCGTGCCCTCTCCATTTGTAATTGCTTCAGCCACAAAGAGCAGAGAACTCCAGCACCTCTCTTGACAAAAGCCGTCCACTGCGGATCTCACTCTGCTTGCAGATCATCCACTCATTTTAACTGCTGACCAGCAACTGGCAAATGACATGCAATGAGAATATGAACGGCATTTTTTTTCTGCCATCTGAACTCAAATATTTTTCTTTTAAGCTGGCCTGGGAGTCTAAACTCCCATTTCCTTGGTAAAAAAGCCGCAGCGAAGTGAGGAACATCATTTTAGCCATTGAAAGCGGTGTCTATGTTTAAGAAATGTTAGGAATTTGGGCTGCATTTCAGTAAGGACTCCGAGCAAATCTGGAGTGCGCATTTCGCTGCGACAGTGTGGTGATGGGTGCTGCATACAGCCCTGCAATGGAGCATCAGCAATCAGGTAGTCTGGGACTGCTAATGAAATAAGGCATTTCTGAGTGCAAGCGTCTCTGCTTAGGGACTGAGATCACTTCCATTATTTCTTTCTTATTTTTGTTAGGTTAAAAGGATTTTTTTTTGTATTAAATTCACTTTATACGGATTTTTTTTTCTCGAATCTCCAATGAAAACAAAGCATATTTGATAAGAAAAGTAGAACTGTTGAAAAATCTGCAGCCAAAGCTCCTGAGGATGCAAGGGGTGTTGCTGGAACCATTAATGCCTGTGCACAGTCATGCTGCAAAGAGCATCACTGCTTTTTGTGCATACCTTTACATTACCATGAGTGCCTATATAAACTCTGGGTTGTCAGGAGTACCCTGACACGACCAAATAGCAACAGTTCATCTACAGTGCTATTTTGCTTATTGATCGAAGACTGTTGAAATAATAATGCGTTTTGCCATGTGTGTTATGGGGAGCAGATCGGTACAACAGCGGAAAGGAGCGGGGGGCCGGTGGATTTGGCAGGGTGGCGCTGAACCTGGTTTCACCTTTGCAAACAGTATAAAGTCACTTCAAAAGCACTAACACTTCTGTTGTCAGCTAAGCCAGGGATCGAAATGCCCCAAACTGCTCTATTTCCCAAAGTAAGTTTATTATATGCTGCATTTTTTTTCTGGAGCGTTAGTACGAATATTAGT